CACGTTGACTCTCGCTACTTTCTCGAGCTTTCACCCTCCCACCCTCGTGAGCCCGGAGAATGGCGAGGCCAATTTTCAAATTGAGTCCGCCACTTTCAAACAGTGTCGAGTCGCTGGTACATCGTTCGATCGCTGGTACACAGCTTCGATTCGCTGACGCAACGCTCGTATCCCGCGATTCGCTAGCGAATCGCTGGATTCGCAAAGTCTGACATCGGCCTAAGACATGACGGGCGCGTCGCGGTCAAGTGCGATGATGGGGCGGCGCCGTTGAGACTTTCGCAATATCGGTGCCCGGCAGTGGCGAGGAGAGAACCATGACTTAATTGTTTCAATTATTTGCGGGGAAGAAAAACTGGATCCGCTTCAGTAATGGAAAACTGTCGTACTTTTCTTAGCTCGCTCTGGATGTAGCCGAAACCGAGGCTCCTCAGCACAAAGTATATTTTGAGAGCATTTGCTCGACGCCCACTTGGCACACGTAGATGCTGTAAAAAAATTAGGTAGATCTGAGATGCATCGTTCATTCTACAAGGTTAGAATCAAATAGTTTGCCATTCTCAACTTGTGTGTGAGCGCTTCACACAAAAAGCTAATGGTAAGCTGTTTCCTCTCAGCAACGCGCCACGTATGCTACTTTATTAGGATTCTTAGTGACGTTTGGATGGGTGCTGGACCATCTTTAAATTCATAATGTTGTACGTTGAAATTATGATATAACACCTTTTATTTTTATTTTTCATAATTATAAAATTTTACCTGTATAGTAGCCGGAACTTCTTCCCATTCCTCGGACACTTCGCTACCGATCTTGAAATATTTCATAGCAAGGGCACCGTCTTTGAACCTTAACCATGTCACTCAGGGCTATATTTGTGTTGGAAAGAGAAAATACTTTGACTTAAAGGCACACTCCACTATCGAGCAGGTACGGTTCTTGCACACGAAGGTGAAAGCAGGGTGTGAAGAAAAGCTCAAATGAAGGGCTTTCTCAGTTTTGAATTTTGGCTGTGCAGGAGCATTGAGACATTGAGTGAGGAGCAGAGAGGAGAGGCGAGAGAGCGCAGCAGGTGAGAGAGCGCAGACACTCGCAGTTGCCAATGAAGAAAAATGAAATCAGTATTTAGTAGTTTTTCTGCGCTCGTCGTCGTCAACACGGAACAAGTGCTCTTACAACTTTGGGTAAAGAGCCACCAAAGGAATTTCAGCGTGAAGTACCTAAACTCATTGTGGGATACACCTATGAATGCTGATCGGATTATTCGCATGTGAACTGGTTGAAAAATCAGCATGTCCATGGTCTTTCAATAGCTCTTGCCAAGGGTAGATTACTATTGCGGGATTATGATTTTCCCACTATATCATAGACTTTACCACATGGGTGAGAAAAAGAGCGCTTGGAATTCTTTGTGACCATTGAAATTGAACAGGAATCCGCGTATTCGATACCATTTGATAAGTAGCGGAATTCAGGACAAACAAGAAAACCACCTGAAAAATAGAACTGTTTTCCCAAAATGCGAAGTCTCCATTTCAGACTGTGTGGGTTTCTAATATGGAAGCGGAGAAGCGGCTATGTTGGATCCGTTAGGTGAAGAAGGATCGGGACCACAGCCGTTTCACACTGAACACTGCAGCCTCAATTTTAGAGACAGACTAGTTTTTAGAGAGGTCACATTGTGCACCAGGACGAGAGAACACGGGGACGTGAGAGACGCAGACATAAGCAAATTCCCAAAAGTTGGCAGGAACAATTTGTAGGGCGTGCATCGACGCAATTTTGAAGTTTCTAATACCTGGCGGGCACTCATTTAGTGGAGTGTAAGTCCGAAGGCATAGCCGCGGTAGCTTAGGGATACCAATGCACCCAGGCCAGTTAGGCATAAACAGGTCACTTTAGGGTCGTTATACAGCTACACAACGATAGGAAGTTTGAGAAAGCGAAAACTAGGAGTTGGATATATCACACCTCCGAAAAATCATTGTATCTAACAGATGCGAATCCAAATACGAATGTGATTTGCAATGACTGTCTAAATATATGGCGCATCCACAACAGCGCCTGACTTAGTTTGCCTACAACAAACTCACCACCATAAGCGGCATCGGCGTGAAGATAGATGAATTCTCTGTTACAAATCGGTCCCAATTCCCTCAATGAGTCGACAGCGCACGTTGCCGTTGTACCCAAAGTGGCAAGCATAAAGAATGGATAAGTCCTCGAGCGCGATCTTCCTGAGGGAGAAATAAATCTTCTTGACCTCGAAGCTGAACGCTATTTTCAGTAGCTTGGATCATTGATAGTATTTAAAATTTCATAGAGATGAGCTGCACTGTGGCAAGATTAAACTATCACAGGGCGCTGTCGTTACCGTAACTTTTTTGCCATACACACATAGAACACGAAAAAAAAACGCCTTGCGTGATAGCGATTGGTAGAAATCCCTCAGGAAAACCGGTTCGGTTTCCCTTTCTGATGGCCGTTGTGAACTGGCTGATAGATAGTACTTGTGAGATGGAGCTGGGTTTGTGGGCCTGACTGAGCGAAGAATTTGGGTGGCTGTTGGCATAGAAAGTGTACTCTCACGTTAAAAGCGGATCTTGCAATGGTAGGGCTATTGGAAAATCAAGTCAGGATGGTCAGTGATTCACGGATGACCCATTAAAAAACGGCGAGAAAATGGCCTAGAACTCGACCCTTACCCGTTATTGTCGTGCATTTATCGACTTTCATCATCGGTGCTGCCCTCTTCAACGCTGACGGTCTCCCTGCTGAACGGCTAGAGACTCAGGCACGAGACGACACGAGAGGGGTGTACCCCGCCAGTAGAGAGCCAATTGCACTGCGGGAAGGCCATGAAAGGCCGGTCGGGTCATATCCCGCGTGCCGCTCCGCACCCTTAGGTCCGCCTGTCTCTCCGATAGGTGAGTTTCCCCTTCTTCGACCTTCGTCCTTACCGTGAAATACTCTTTCAAATAAGGGTGGGTGTATCATTCAGAAAATGAACAAGAATATTTTGGTAGGATTCGCGACGAACTCTTCAGCGGTAGCTTGTACTTATAAAAACAAAACCGCTCAGTTACGTTTAGGACGAGTGTCAAGGCTTCCAACGCAGGAGCACATGTAACTTCTTCTTCTAGATTTATGCCGACCTTTAAAAGATGAAAACTAATAAATCTATAGTAAGTCATACCAATCACTTCGACTACAGTGAATAAACAGAAAATCATACCCCTATGGCAGTCTCCAGCGTCTCTTTTGTGACCGAATAATTCCTCAGAACGGGATCAAGAATGGTCCTCAATTTGCGAAACTTCACTCCGCAAAACGCCGCCACTTTTTCCACAGAATAGTGAGCCTAAAACTATTTACCCTCTCTACTTGAAGACAAGAAGAGCGTCGTTCGCACACTAAACCCAAACAGTTGACGACGGCCAAGGGTAAAGTGGCCACTTCCGGTGTGTGGTCTGCACTCGATGCTCATCTTGTCTCCCGAAAAAGATTGTACGTCCACTTCAAGATAGGCAAGATTGCAATTGAAGCATACATAGGTGACATCGAGAACTAGCAATGGATAACTTTCGCGTCGTCAGGCCGATCGTTTTTCAAGAAAATTCCCTTGGTTTTCTCGTCATGCGTTGCAAGAAGGGTGCACTATTCAGGCAACATATTTGTGGAAAGTGCTAAGAGCCATAACATCGGCCCCTTCCTATCCTTCTCCCCCCACCCCAGGAGGATGCGTCTCCCGTCGCTGATTCTATCCTCAGCTCAGGGACACGGCACGGACAGGACCCGTCATCGATTGCGTGATGTTGTAGCTACCTCCTCTGTTGAAGCACTCTTTTCTTTGAGGTCGCACTTCCTGGAGCTAGTAGAAACGCCGAGTATGGCTATCGTATGACCGAACTCTGCCTCCACCAACCATAAGGTAGGATCAGCGCCCAAAGGACACGTCCGCTGGGAAGGACCGGTAAGCGGCCCATACGCTCTACCCTAGCAATGAACAATGGTAACGACAGGCTATGCTGCGCTCTGTCGGCTTTTGCGTACTGTAGAGGGACATAAATTGAACCCAAAACCTCGCGTTCATTCAATTGAATGGTTCTAGAGCGCCAAAAATCCTGAAAATATTTTTTGGAAAAGGTATTTTTACATTGTATCATACCACTGCGTACATGTTTGTCGAAGTCGCAAGTATGCCATTAATGCCGAGAGTATGATTTGAGGCTCAGTACCTCGGTATGGCCAGCTAGCCCCAACAGGATTTGATTTCTTAAGTAGTAGTACGGCTACCACTCTTGCTTGCGACGAAAAAAACCGTTGGCAAAATCAAAAATTGGGCATCTGGTGGAACCCAGCTGCATTAGGGCCGCATTCACTTCAGCGTCTTCGGCAAGGCTTCCAGAATCCAAACTTCCATGTTTTCGCGAGAAATGACCGACGAATTAGTACCGCTTTCGGTATACCCCGGGATCTCCTCTTGACAAATTCCTTAGCATTTCGTAGGATGGCTTGGTAGGATGACTTGTCGTTTATTGGATTTCCCACAAAGAAATGACTTTCAGACGAGTTAAGCTCTTTGCGTTCCTTGTACGCGTCTGGCTGCATACAAACCCCTTGCTTTGTGGTTGGCATGCATGCGCTGCCGCCCCAAAAAATCTGTCGATCAAGAACCAGCATGTCTGAATTAATTACGCATTGGAGAAATTAAAGAGTAGGAGATTAGGTGAGTAAGCTAATGATGATAGGCGGCATCGTCTGGGTCGAAAATTTATTCGTCACTAGGTATAGGTACATTTTCAGGTTCAGTGTAGTTGCTAAATACGTGCGACTGGTAGACGACTCAAAACTTTCCTTGTGGGCTGGAATATCTAATAGGAGTCGTGAGAATGGATGCAAGCCAAGACTAGCTTTGCCAGAATACGTGGTAGCATTCATCATCTAGAAAGAGCGTTTTTCTGCCGAGCATTTGCAATTAAGAATTTCCCAATGATTAAGAGCCAAAGCGGAATCACGCAAACTTTTTTACAAGAGGTCCTCGTGGGTGGAGGTGCTATGATGCGCATGCGCAACTGGTGGAGGTCGTGACAATCAGCCGCCTTGACTTCCCGCAGTTGTAGAACAGCCATCCATGTATTTTTTTGTGTTTTGACGATATCTCGACAGTCCGACCGAGGAAGTCCACTATAGAGCTGTGGTATTTGGTCGTTTGAGGTTCCTACTAGTTCAGCGATGGCTTACCAGGCGGGATGGTAAAAGTACTATCATATTCTCTTTGAGGCAGACCATGTGAGCGTCAACATTAGAGTTTCGCAGGAGACGAGACCATTCCGTTCATTGTTCTCTTCTTGTGCTGTATTTTGCATCCCTACTTTCGTATTCAGGTGGAATTACCATACAAAATTGAACCCGTCCGTTGCCTTCGAGAAAGTTTAAAAAAAGGCAATCACCTGATCTGTGAAATAGGCAATAAGTCTACGGAACACTATCGGATCGTGATATGGAGAGGTAATTACGTCCGGATCTTCCTCTTCCACCTAAACTTGTACGATGAACGAATTTTTATAACGCTTTAGGGTGGTTACGATCAAAGGGATAGGGAAACCGTCCTTACCGTGCGGCGGACATCTTCCAACAATTGTCGCACAGTTTTCTTGAGTCCTCCACATGCAGGTAGGGCTGCTGGGTTGTTTTTGATCATCTGCATAAAATAACATGATGAGCTGAATTTAAGTAATAGAGGCCTACAAAGATCTGCCAGAGTATCTGCGCTTGTGTGATGCGCCACGCATTTTACTTCTATTCGCAAACGTAGTCGAATATACGAATTGCGCTCCAACCTATACATTGAATTGCCCGGGCCAAGCAAGCCAGGTTTCGGTCGTCTCAACCGAGTCTAGTGCTACAAAGGAGAGGAACGCTCAGTTGATCTGAGCTATATTTAATCTATAGGACTGGTTCCCCAGACCGAGCGCGTGGTAACGGCTGTTTCAGCCCGGATCTTTACTGTACAACTATAAGATACAGAGTTCAAGAAAAAACCCAAAAAAGTCAAAGAAGGCTACACATCAACGCATTCTATGCTCTGGCATACATTACCGCCAACATGGTTGACTCAGTGGCTGTCGTCTGAGTGATTCCGCATCCTGGGCCTGGATCGGAATTCTGAAATATCGAATAAGCTTGTAGTGAAAAGGTGAGTACAGTCAATAGCGGGCTGGGCGCAAATCGAGCTGTGGATCGTTTATATGGCCACATTCACTCATGCAATTATCTTTTGAGAAAGGGTCATCTGACCATGTCTTGGTCACCTGGATCTTGGTCAGTGATTGAGTCGTCCAAGTGACTAGTCTCCCTCCGACAGTGAAGAAAAAAGGAAAAGAATCCGTCGGAAACGCTTAGATTGAGGGCTTACTCGCCTTCCTAGTCGGCTAGGCTAAGGGAATGAGAGACTAAGCGCGGAGAGGAGAGTAGAGGCGAGGGAGCACTACTGATAAGAGAGCGCCAGACAACAGCCTGATAAGAGAAAAAAACTCTGTCGGCTTTAGTCATCTTTGCAAGCCACGCCAAGCGCTTCTTGGTCGGTTGGATTGCCGGGAATGCCACATTTGTTGTCTTGCCAGGGGCTTCATACTATAGCTGAAGGAAGCGTTCACAAGACCGTCTGCGCTGGGTTGTGCCTTTAAGGCTCACGCTCATGCTGGGGGTATGGGAGGAGTATCTGAGCTACTAAGCTCTGCCCTCCGCGGGTCACCTTCCCGCTTACTATGTTGAGGTATATCCCTGGGTAATTGCTAAGCTAAGCATTGAAATATCGCAGTATAGTTTTGAAAATTTTCAGATGTTTTTGACGTTCAGAGCTGCTATGGAATTTTCAGAGTTTTACATGGGGTTAACCATCGCGAAATACGACAGGGTCGTATCGGGGTCTTACGGTATAGTGTGGTAGAAATGTAGGGATCCGTATTCCCAGGGAGGGTTTTTCTGTCAAAGCGGATTATGGAGGAATTTTTCTAGAGGTCCTCTGAGAATTCCTAGGGTCTATGAGAATTTTTAACCTGTGAGAATCTGCTGTTTCAGTTGCTACGTGTGCTCCTTATACACCCCTCACCTCGCTTGTCGGAAATCTTGGAACTATGCTTGTGGGTTATAAATAGGAACCCAAGGAGGCCGAGATGGTAGGGTCTTATGGAGTATAACCTCTGGGAGTAGCTAGAAGTCTATAATCGTGTCAACGCGACGGTTGGCCTTACTGCTGAATTGCGTGAGACTCCAGGACAACATGATTTTCATTGTCAGACATTTGGTCAGCTCCCTAATTTAATGTAGGATTTTGTAAAGTTCTAGACCACTTTGCCACAGACTTCGTATAATGTATGCTATACGAAGCTTTTGCCACAAACCACCCTTTTTTGCTGTTTTGCGTCACTCCTACAGGTAGGTACTCCACCATTTCTTGCGGAGAAGCGATTGAAGCATTCATAGAACGGAATAGGTCAAACCTTGAAGTAATCGGGAAGCCCGAGCAAGTCGACCAACCAATCCAACGTTTTCATTTCAAGCTCTGTGAATGAAGGAGAAGATTTCTAAAAATAGACTTAGCATATCGAGACAACTCCATTCAGAGAAATCATCAAACTCACCCAGTCAAATCCAGCCGAATTCACACCGTTACTGAGAATGTCAGAAATGATTGCAGGATAGGAACACGCTGCCGGGTAATACGCGAAAAATAACGGATGATTCCAGTTCGTATTTCCTGCAATGAAGCACTGTGTTGGATTTACCGCGGTGGCAACTACTGTATTTTTCGTCTCTCGTGGAACCGTTTTTGTTCATGCCGAAGTCTCGCATCCTCCTCTAGTTATAGTATAGTCGATGTGGTCGACATTAAAGTTATTCAGTTTAAAATCGAAAGTGCCACAGGCAAAAATCGGTCGAGGATTTTTGCCGGTCGGTCGCGCTTTCCCGCGCGGACATTCACTCTGTGCTTTCCCTACATCCGCCCTCGACACTTTTCTCACACGAGTGTATGTCAACAGAATCGTCCGGATCCCCGCGCTACTGGTCGTGGCCGCGACGTCGCAACTGCAGTGGACGAGTTTCTGTGAGCGTCATTTGAATTTGAATGTTACATGGACACCAAGCAGGCCGTCCCTCTAATATTCAACCTTCAATCAACTGCTCCAACCGACAAATTCGAAATCCCGCGCTTTCCAGAGTTGCCGCATCGCGACGCCGCGCAAGTGGCCGCACGCGGCGGCGCGACGACCGTACGATTCTGTTGACCGCTCCCCTTCTCACACAGTTCAGAGCCATGGTCGAGGATTCCCTGGACTATTATTCACCCTGGTGGTAGTCCTACCGCGCGCATTCAAGCGGCCTTCTATCT